CATTTTTCATTCTGTAATTCATTTATCTCATAGTTACTGAGATTTCAGAAAGCAAAATATAAAAAAGCGGATAAAGCTAATATAATTGTTGTTTACAGTCCGAGCGAACATGAGTATCGAGTGATAGCTTTATTGACTAAAATCGTACAATCAGCAACTTTGACACTGTAAGAAAAAATAGCTTTAATAAATAAACTGGATTCAAGTTCGTCTCAGGAAGCATCACCTCTGCACAAACGACGAAAGGTCGATGAAGACAATAAGGAGCAAGACGAAGGAGGGGCTCCAAGCCTCAAAACCATCTATGAACTGTTACTGGACATGAAAAGCGATATGTCAAAAATAAGAGAAGAAAACTCCTATCTAAAGAAGGCTTTGAAGAGTTAAAGAAAACAGCAGAGTGGCATGACAAAGATATTGAAGCACTTAAGGCAGAGAACGTTACTTTAAGAAGCGAGGTAAAGGACCAGGGCGAGTCAGTTAAAAGTCAATCAAATCAAATCAGTGCACTAGAGCAAGCCCTAGATGATCTGGAACAGTACACGCGTAAATTCAACCTAGAAATTCATGGAATACCGGAGAAGAAAAACGAAGATCTTGATATTATAGTGGAAGACCTAGCTAAGGCTATCGGCGTGGAGAGCTTTGAATATGGCGATATCGACATAGTACACCGCCTGGAATCTAAATTTAAACCAAGACCTGTTATTGTCAGATTCCAGAATTACGACGACAAAMGAAACATTTACGAAGCGAGAAGAAAATTGAAATATTACAAGAAAGATGAAGAGAAATTAAATGGCGCCGAGAGAATCTTTATAAACGAAAATTTAACCACAGTCCGCAAGATCCTTTACGCACAGACAAGAAAAAGAGCAAAACAGAACCATTGGTATTCTACGTGGACAAATGACGGCAAAATCTTTGTCAGGAAAAGGAAAGGAGAAAAGGCTGCCAAAATAACCAAAGAATCGGACTTGGAGGATCTTTATAGCTGATAAGTAATTTATTTTATAAGTCATTATTGTATTGGACAATMTTTAAAATAATATGAAATTCTATAACTAACTCTCTACTATTAGATAAGGAGTCTTTGTGACAGGTTTCCTCAATAGTTGGGATAACTTTTTATCTAATATTATCTTTTTTGAGTTTAACCTAGAATTTTGTTCTTGTTTGCTTTACTTGTGCCCTCAAATTTGCATATTGTAACGGACCTATTATGTATTTTTGTCTAAGTGTTAATCGTTTTCTGTTCCAAAGCAATTATCTTTGTGTTTTCAAGTTTAGTTTGTATAGGTATTTTTGGCCTGAAGTACAAATTTACATTTTAAATGYAGTACTTCACATAGCATTTAACGTACACTGTTATTCACTGTTTGTCATTATTCAACAATTTTTTGTATTGTGTTGTAATTCTGTTGTTTTGTGTGTCTTGTGTGTAATCATTGCCCCTCATTATTCCTCTACACTGTTGACTCAAAGGGACAGAAAAATATGTTTTCAAGAATAGTTCTAGATAGCCAAATTATTTCTCTAAATGTCCGTGGAATGAGAAAGTACAAAAAACGCAAAAAAGTCTAAAATATTCAAGCATTTAAAGAAATATGAAAAGATAAATGCTTTACTGAAAAAAACGGACCTTTGTTAATTTATTAATTTATCTTTGAATTAATATATTAATAATCTTATATATAAATTGTAATTAATTTTGTAGTCTATTCCTAGTCACAGTGTATTTTCTTTTGTTTTACCTTCTTTTGTATTGTACCTTGTAACGTGGATTTATTTCAATAAATATGTTTTTTAAAAAAAAAGAAAGCTTTTCCTAATTAATTGACAATTTTTTCTCACCGTGATCGCATATAAAGCGTTCTGACGCTGACTAAAAGTTGCGGATGTCAAAGAGTCCTCATATGCAGTGTGACAAGATATCTAAATATACTAACGCATGAAAAAAAACACTTTGACTGCAAAACCAATTCAATAACATTCAAATAATTGTCCGCACAGAAAATTGATGAGAATTAGTTTACGATA